AATGTTCTTCAAGTTGCATGATAAATATAATCATTATGAAAAATACATGGAGGAATTTAAGGAAGGAGAAGCTATTAATGTGTTATTTATATTTAATTTTAACTTTATTTTATTGTAGATTATCTTTCTTAATATTAAAAATACTTTAAGTTCATATATTTATTGAATTATAAGATCCAAAAAATTGAAGTTTTGTAAATTAGCATAGATTTTCAACATTACAGTCAAAGCTATAAATATCCCTCCTATAGATAAGAAACGAAATCTCTTAATAACAGCCAAAACTTAAATAAACTATATTAAAATCATAGAAAAGGGTATGATGAAATTATTTTGAGAAGGTTTTAGCAGGCATCTATAATCCCTATAATGCAGATTTTAAAACTTTTAATTTAATATTATTACAAAAATAAAACTTTCTCAGCTTTTAATTTATGTCTAATTTGAAATATATAGACCAAATATTATATTTATTAATTAAATCAAGCACAAATTTTTTTTCTATCTGCAATCAGAAAAAGCAAAGAATTCAATAGATATTAAATCTAAAAAGTAGGTATAAGACAATTCTTTCTTTTTATATTTAAGCAATTAAAGATTTTATAATGACGACATAACATTATAGATGAAATTGATAGTTGAAATTCATGATCTATCAATTTTTTTTTTAGATTTACCTAGAATAGGATAATATAAATATACCTACTATTAGGTAATATGATTTTGATAGTTGTATCACTATTTATTGTTAAAATTTAGGCAAGTATAATTTTAGTATAGCATTAGTTCAGATAAATCAATGCATATATAGTTTAATTTATATAGTAAATATTCATATTATTTATTTATAAGGTTTGATTAGATTTTATAAAATTGTTATGTATAAATTTATAATTATAAATATTTTTAGAAAATAAATATAAAAGCTTATAATATATAAGGTAAACATTATTTAATGATAAAGAATCTTTAAATTCTATTAAAAGTAGCTTGAATTGCATTCTTTCAAAAATTTAAACTATGAAAAAAATATAGGCCATAAAAATATACAAGAAAATTTTTAAGATCTCTTACCAGTATATAGTAAATTACAATAGCCATAATTGTAAGATATTCGAGATGGTTGATAATTTCTTAAGTATCTATTCATTGAAAACACTTTTATCAATTTAAAAATAAGTACATCTGCTACTATAATTAGATCAAAATAACTAATGGATAGTTTGTTGATTAAATATCTAAAAGATAGAATGAATAAATAAATTCTTGTTTGATTAGAATAGTATACATATATATAATGAAGAAAAACATTTTAAATGCTAATATGTGTGTAAACATAGGAGGTTTATTATTAAAATTACTTTATGGACTATATAATTTACTATATTCATAAACTCAAACATATATCTAAAAAATTATCAAAGTTTGGAGAACTATTTATCATTAGATTATCTTTTCATTATTGTATATTTTTCTCAAAGTAACGTTTTAAATCTTCAGAAAGATAGACAAATAATTCATATATAATAGAGGTTGAAACTAACCAATAATTCTTTAATTAGTTAATAACCAGTTAAAAGATTTGTTAACCAGTTAATTAACCAATTAAAATTAACTTAGCTAACATTATAAATTTGGTCAGAATTAGACAATATTTTGCAATTATAAAAATTTTAATTCTGGTCAGAAATTGAATTTCAGCCAGATTTAAATTCATCTATTTTAATCGATTAAAAAAAATCTTTAACTCAGTGTTAGACTTAAAATTGTTTCAAAACTAAGCTAATAAAATCAATAAACTTAATAATACAATTATCTTAAAATCTCTTTCTAAGAGAAATTAATAATTAATAAACAAAACAATTTATTATCACGATTCACTTATATAATAAATTATCACAATTAATTCTATAATAAAGACAAGAAAAAGGTTAAAAGTGTAAAATAATAACTTTATTAACTGTAGAGTTATAAGTTTAATCTCAAGATTTGTTCAGAAAACTATCTGATTGAACTCTATTGACTCAAGGTCAACTTACAGATCTATTTATATAAAATTATTAATTAGTACTATATAATGCTTTTTAATAAATAAAAATAATATATATAATGAAACTAGAGAATATAATATAAGTAATGAAAAGTAGACTATATTATATTTATATTAAAAAGTAAATTATTCAATACATGTATTATAAAATTGATCAAATAATACATGTATTGCATATTTAATAATATCATTTTTATAATATTCAATACAGTTGTAGATCATCTAAAGCACAGTATAATTTATGACTAACAATTCTTCCCTCCTAATTTTCAAACTTTGAGAGAAATTTATCAGCTTCTTTCTCATTTCTGATAGAAAGTTAGAGGATAATTAACTAAAGCTTTAAATTTAAAAGCTTTAAATTATCAGTGTTAAGCTTAAATACTATATCATTAGAATAATAAAGCTTATTTGCTAACAGGAATTTTAAGTTATAAACTATGAAAGAAATAAACATGAATTTATTTAGGTTAAAGGGTCAAGTTATCTTTATTGATGATTTATGTTTTAAGGAAATAGATATTAACAAAGATATAGTTTTTATGTTGTTAAGATTATATTTTATTTATTGTATTATAGAAATTTAGTTTGTCAAAGTGACAATACAGGATATTTATATAAAATACAATTATAAGAGAGATAATAAATATAATAAATATAATAATGAAAATAAGAATAAACATTATAATAAATATCATAGTGATAATTGTGATAGCTATAACAATAGTAAAATGATGATCACAAATTTCTAGTGATCATTGATAACATTAGTTAGCACAGTCATTTAGTGATTCAGATTTAGTTTTAATAGCTTTTTCTATATGTTACAGGACTACTAATATTTTGATTTAGTTTCTTAAGCTTTTTGCTTTTTTAAGTTATTAAAATAAAGATTTTACTTATTATAATGCAGTATTATTATGTTAATAAAAAAGTGATAAAATAGTTGGATAAAATGGTTTAGTTTATTGTGAGTCTACTAAAATTTGATTATATGTATTTATTTTAATTTGGGTAAAGGTAAAGTTTAATCGATATTCATTCTACTTATATAGATTTTTAGTAAACTTCTATTTACAGGGATTTTTAACCTTATAAGAAAAAAATTGTCTAATTTTTATTTAATTTACGATCAACATAAAATATAATTTATTATATACAATTTTTGTTCTTAAAATAAACCCGTTTTGTATATTTTTTGCATATTTTTTTCATATATAATTAGTACAATAATTGTATTTTTTTGCAATATAAAAATTATATTTTTACATATATAATAAGTATATTAATTGTAATTTTTTACTAATTAGTACAATTTTTGTAATACTTTTGATTTATTAATATTTTATAATTATCAAATAAATATTCGATTTATATTTTATTATCATATTATATTTATTGTATTAATAACTAAATAATATATATAGCAATAATAATATAATTAAACAATCTAATTGATTCAATCTTAAATAAGCATTTATTAAAAATTAGTTATAAAAACGATTTAAAATTGAATAATATATTGATATTTACCTATTTATACTATATATTAGATTTTTTTGAATAAATCAGCAAATACAGTAAATTTTAATGTTATTTTATATTTTTGAGATTAGTTATATTGTGTTAACATTGCAGTAAAATTCATATACATTGGTTTTAATTTGATTTCCTGAATCAGTTGATTGAAGAAGTTATATCTGATAGTTTCTCATTCATATTTTTTATATTGACTGGTGAATTTGTTGAATCTGACTCCTTGAACTTCTTGAATCAGTTGAGGTTTGTGATTGAATAATCAAATTTGAAGAAGTTGTATCTGATGGTTTCTTATTCACATTTTTTTTTACTATTGCATATTGACTGGTAAGTTTGTTGAACTTGACTTTTTAAACTTCTTAAACCAGTTGAAGTTTGTGGTTGAATGATTAAATTTGAAGAAGTTGTATCTGAAAATAATTTAACAACAATTAATGATAGTTCTTCATTTTCATTAACCATATTTTTTTTGCCATTTCGTGTTATTTGATGAGTCTGCAGCTTTATATTAAAATAATGTTGACTAATATTTAAACATTAACAATTTGAATTAAAGTATATTAATTATTTTTTCTCGAATATTTAAAAATTATATAAAATATATAATCTTTTAACTTGATCAAATATATTAGATTTAACATCAATTTCAGTAAAAGGAACTATATATTGATCAGTTGAATCATCTTTGTAAATGTCATTTATATCAATGTCATTTTAGATTTAATCATCTGTTAGTTCTAGTGATAAAGAACGGGATTCATATCTTTTTAATTTTTGTTCAATTCTTTTATAATATTTTATAACATCACCTAAAAGGTTTACAAAATTATTATAAAACTATTATTAGTATTACATAAATCAAATGTTATAAAATAAAATCATACGCTTGTTATTTATTATTTAACGTATCATTTCACATGGTGCCCAATCACCCACTGTTGAAGGAAAACTCTTATTTGATAATAACCACTAAAATAAAAATAGAAGGTAAATAATTAATAATTTCTTAAAATATATCAATTTTATTTACCTTTTTAATTATATATTGAATTTTCTTTTCAGTTAACTCTTTAAACATCTTAGTATTTCCTTTAAAGTTATGACTAATTTGGTGTCATAATGCCTCCTTAAAAATATTTGATCAATAGTGAATTTGTATTCTTTAATAGAAATAATTAATAAATCAAATACTTATTTGATAGTTATTATATTTTTCTTTTTCTATATTAAGTACTTTGCAAATATTTAAGTATTTGTCAACTTTTAGCTTAGGAACAGGCTGTTTTTACTCAATAGGTTTGTTTAATATTCAATATACAACAAAAAATATTAATTTTTAAATATTAAATAACAAAAGTATAGTTATTTCACAGTCATCGACAATAGTTCTAACACGTTTAGATCTTTTATTTTATTCAAGTATCTTTAAATAATTATTTAAAGTATCATCATTACTTTCATCTAATATCTTAGGCTTTCTTTTGTTAGGTTTTACATTATTAGCTTGTTGGTTGTTCATCTTAAAGGTTTCTTGATTCAGAAGAAATTGAAGGCGTACATTTTCAGCTTCCAATATTGTAAGGTGTTTCATAATAAGACTTTAATCGTTACCATGAGCTGAATGTTCATCAATTTCAGACTTGGCATTTGCTATAGAAGAAACATTATTCAATTTCTCTCCTGAAGAAGCATTATTTAAGTTCTCACTTGAAAAAGCACGATTATTCTTAAAGTTAACATCATCAATAACTATTACTTTTGCTTTTCCCTTTCTTTTTCTTAAAGAAATATAATTATCCTTAAAGTCAACATCATTATTAACTATTAATTTTGCCTTTCCCTTTTCTCTTATTACTGTGTTATTATAAAAGCAAAAAAAAAATCAACTGTTGTTTTATAACTTGATTTATAATTATATTAAAGATATTTCTGTAAGAAATGATAAAAAAAAGAGAGACAACAGAAATTTCTTTGTTAAACTTATTTATATTAATTAATTTATTATTTAAACTTTGTCTTACTAAATTTATGACGTAATTACTGTAATTGATGTATTATACACTTTTTGATATTTTTAAGGATTAGATCTTATATAATCTAATCATAAAGTTATGAAAATCAAATAAAAAGAAATTTTGCAATTTTTAATAAATAAAAATGATATATTTTTTTTAACTTATTTTATATTTATTGATTAAAAATCATAAAAAAAAATACATTTGAATATATTATATTTATATACTTTTTTATAAATATCATTACTTTATATTTTTTAAAAAGCTAAACTGATTTTCTGTTATATTTAGTCAATTTTTTATTGGATTTCTTTATGTTGAAGATGTGATGCACATGTTATAGATATCAGGAAAATACAGGAGATGGTTCATATATTAGTAAATCAACTCATACACATTACTGCAACCTATATCAATCTTATGAACAAAAATACAATTTATTGAGTTTAAACAAAACATTAAGTCAATTTAATAAGATAGAAATAATTGATGTTGTTAAGCCTAAACACTACGTCATTAGGATAATAAAGCTTATTTGCTTTAAGTTGTAA